CTATCATTCATGCTAAATAAATATCTCATATATTATTGTTATTATTATCAGTAGCTACAGCAATCATTTTTTTCTCTCTGATATACCTTGGGGCGTTATTGTATTTTTTTATTCGTGTTTGTTTTCTTTCACCTAACTCATTAGTAAACGTGACCCTAATAATAATACAAGTTATATACATATGAAAGAGAAAGAAAAAAAAAACTACATTATATAGACAATATATGTACAATAATCGATCGATTGACGGTATTGGTTTTCTGCATTTAAACGTTTGATTTTTCTTTTTCACCTTGGTGCAAAATATAATGATCGCTACTCAACAATTACATGGAGATTCTACTGGCATAATATATTCGTCTTCATTTAATGATATCATTGACGGAATGATACATCAATACGAACGACAACATCTATGTCGGTATCATCGTGACAAATATCAACGTTTTCAACATGAAAAAGCTCATCGTCACCATACGTCTAAGAATAAGACCCATGAAAAGTATGTTTGTAAGAAAATCTCTTTGTGCACATGCATCGATACAAGGATTTTATTTCACCTTTAGTTACACAGCAGGAAAATAATAATACTGTTGTCTATGTCTATTTTATTTTCTATAACTCATTGCATATTGTCGTCTATCTTGATTGTAAAAATTATTTCTACAACGACACTTTGCATTAGCTTTCTTTGCGTTGTTGTGCACAAGTAGAAAAGACGTTAATTCTTATTCTATATCGTAAAAATAGAGACAATAACAAACAACAACAACAAAAAATGTAATTGACTTATGTTCGTCATAAACTAGAATATTCTTCTTTTTTTTTTCTTTTCCAGATAGTACTGCTTAGAAATAAATACTATATAATGTAGGCGTCCAAGAGAACATACAGGATAACACTTTTCTTCTTCGTTGTACGTGTACTCTGGGCATTTGTAGTCTAGCGCTTGTGCGCGCGCGCGTGTGCTGCGTATATCTTCCTTAGTACAGACATAATTGCTTTGAAAATATCTCTATCCTTTTCTTTCCTTTTTTTTTTCCCTCAATGTATGTGTTTATATGGGTTATATACTCAATAGATGGGAGAAAGACGAAGAAAAGAATACAACATATGAGAAAATCTATCCTGTACATAATATCAATGCTGTATGAATTAGACCGAAGAAAAAGAACTGAAGGAATGGAAAAACAACAGCAACAACAACAACAATAATAACTGAGCAAGTTTTCTGAAGATCAACACTTTTTCTTTTTCTCGCTCTTTTATTAGGGCAAGAAAAGGAGGAGGCGTTGTCTCTTTTTTTTTCTTCGTCTTCTATCCATCTATACATATCTCTTGCGTATTTTTTCTCTCAGTCCAGTACTCATTCTTATCTAATCATCAGAAAAAACGAGTAAAAGAGCGTCCTCGCTTTTTCTTCCCTTCTACTAAACATATACACATATATATCCTAATGTTATAAGACAAGCAGAAAATGACAAGCAATATCAGTTCAAGCACAACCGGTCACACATATCGGCTTCGACCAATGCCAATAAGTTCAATAAATAATAGTTCAAATCTAAGTGGACAATCAGCAAATACAACATTGAATAATAATAATAGTAACTCAACATATTATGGAACAGCAGCACCTATTGTTGCTTCTCCAACATGGAGTTATTCATCACCAAGTCAACTAGCACGAAAATATGCTAATATTGCACCTATTTGGTGTCATATAACAAAACCCAGACAATTAAAAAAAAAATTTGCATCTACATTTCATCAAGCTCAATCATTAGTAAGTTTTTATAATGAAGATCGAGCACCAAGTGAACGTCGTGGTTCACTTAATCAATCACAGCAACAACAACAACAAAATCAAATGCAATCTCAACAACAACAACAACAATCTATTGTACATAATACAAGTTCAAATCCACAATATCATCATAATGAACCAAATAGTTATCGACAACAATATACACCACATTATATTTCTCATGATCTTACAACAGAACCATCAACAACAACATCATCATCATCATCATCACGAGCAAAAAAAAAATATACAGGTGGTGCTTTAACAATGCATATATCATCATCACGTTTACAATCACCACCAGCACCACCATTAACATCAGAAGAAAAATTTTCTAATCCAAGTGAACGTAAAGCTCGTATTGATCAATTGAAAGATCTTGTTTTTAATACACGTGTTAAAGATACAATGATTGGACGAACTGATTCAAAAAATCGTTCAACTACAAATTTACAAAAAGCTAATTCATATAAACGCATTGATCAAATAACAAATCCAAATGATGATTATCAAACATCAATTATTCCACCAACAACACCTATACGTAAAGATTCACATTATTATCATTATCATTTACCAACAAGTACAATATCATCATCAACAATAAATGAAAATCTTAATCGTCCTATTGTACCACCACCACCAACATCATCATCATCATCAACAACAACAAGTTCAGCTATATCACATCCAACATATAATTATGATTATTTACGTGCAAAATCAAAAGAATATACACGACCAATATATCATGAAACAAATTATATAACAAATCCAATACATACAACAGAAATACCATCATCACAAATAGCATCAACGAGTTCAGCTTATGTTGGTTCAACAATAACAAATCCATTGAATTCTTATCGTACATATGATGATCATGGTTATATTAGTAAACCAACATCAATTACAGATAAAAATTCATCATATACAGCCATAACATCATATCCAAGTTATCAAACACCTAGTTCATCTAAACGACGTATTAAAAAATATTTACTTGCTAAAGGTACTGCTCCAACAACACTTTCACATCAAACAGAACCTATTATTACAACTATGGAAAATTTATCATTACTTGAAGAAGATAAAACAACAAATGGAGATGATTCAAGTGTTATTATTGCTAATACACATGCAACAACACCCTCATCTCCTATACCATCAACAACATTGAATCAAAAACTTACAACTACAACTGTTGTTCCATTACTTCAAACAACACCACCTATTCCAACACTTACTTCAGCATCATCATCACCACCTGCTCCAACAAATAATTCTACTGCTCCTATTGAATCCGTTGTATTTTCTACACCTAATGGTCAATTATCACCAAGTCCACAAAATAATTATAATACTAATACTAAAGTTCCTCCTGTTATTCTTGTACCTTTATCTGCTTCATTAACATCACTTAACAAACAACAACCACAATCAACATTAAAATCAACAACAAATTCACTTCTTGATTTTGTTGCTTCACATGGTGTAAAAGAACAATCACCATCTCGATCGATCGTACCACCAGTTGCTGAGGATGGGTGGGAATTTCGTATTTGTGTGTGTGCATTTTTGAGAAGCAAAATGATTGCTGTGCTACTGCAATATGTTTGAGATAGACTTATTCCTTTCTATATATTCATATATATATATATATATTATTTTATTGAATTCCTTTTTTTTCTTCATTTTCTGCATGTATGAATCTTTTTTTGCATGTGTTTGCAGTTCTTCAACAGCACCTCGTAATACTTTACATACTAGTTCATCAATTGAACGTCATCGTAGGCGACGGCACAATCGACATGATTCATCAGAAAATCGTCGTGGTGGAAATGGTGGCGCCGGTGGTACAAATACAAGAGCTGAAAGTATTACAAGTACATCATCAGCATCGAAACGACATAAGAAAGCTAACAATGTAATTAATAATCATACGAATAATAATTATCGTCATCATCATCATAAACGATCAACATCAACACCAAATCAAAGAGTAAGTTTTTTTTTTGTTTCGATTTTCATTATTTCATAAGTTTTCTTTATGTCATTCATATATGTGGGTGCGTCATATTTATATTCTTAAATACATATAGCAGCTAAAAAACGGGAGGGTTAATGGCACCTTGATGTGTCGTGTCAAAGGTCTTTGCTTACGTATATATGTATGCGTTCACAAAGAAATAAAAAGACAGAGAGAGAAAGAAAAGAAATTGACCCCACAATCTTTTTTTTTGCATGTATGTCCCTTATGCAATAAAACTACAACCTACAGAATGACATACACTTCAACTTACATACATACACATACAGACGACACTGTACAATAGTCAATGGTCGAAATAATCCTACATCTCTCTCGTTTTCTTTGCTTTTTTCTCCTCTTTTTCTATTCGAACATTCTCATATTTTAAATTGTCTGATGAACAATAGAAAAATAGTAATGGTAGTATTGCTTTTAGGACTAGTGTATAGTCTTAATATTCTTGAAATGTGAAAAGAACAAGAAAAAGAAAAAAAAAAAGAAATCGAAAGAAAGAAAGAAAAGAAGCTTCTTTTACTGCTGCCCTTTCTGCCGTCCAGATGATCAGTCGGAAAAAAAGAAAAAAAAAAAAAAAGGAAAAAAGAAAAGATGCTGAACATATTCATCGTGTACTTATACTAGAGCATTGTATGCTTGAACTCCAATGGACAAATGATAAAGAAGAACGAGAAGAAGCAAAAAGAAGAGAAGAAGAAGAAAAAAAGAAGCAGAGAGACAGCGAGAACGCATATATGTTGATGTAGAAGTGGTCACTTGGTCAATTTGATTAATAATTTTCGAGCAAGCAAACTGACGGCGACGACCTTCGTCTAAAGTTTTTGCTGGCGGAAGAAATAAGAGGAAAGACAAAGATTGTTATTCGTTCATATTCATTCACATACACACACATACTCTTTTCATATCCATATCGGTGAAGCAACGTACAATATACATATATATACAGGCATACAATCATCTATTATATTCATTCTACTCAAATCGATATTTTACATACATATATTTCTATGTATTCTCTGGATTCATGAAGGTAAAACTTCAGAGAAGAAAAAAGACTCATAAAAAATTTTCTTGACAAACATGATTTAATTTGATGAAATAAAAATAAAAGTAAAAAAAAAAAAAAAAAAAACTCCGGTAATCAATATGCGACTTATACAATTCAATAGTGGTCTTCGTGTAGTATTAAGAGATGTTCAACAAGAACAAACAGAACAATCACCAAGATATTATCTTGCACCACCATTAGCAGCACCACCACCACCACCACCATCTGTACATTATTCATCAAATTCTTCTATAGCTACAACAAGTTCATCTATTAAATCAAATACTTCTATTAGTACAAATCATGAATATTATACTTATCGACAATACTTACCATCATCACATTCAACAGTTTATTCTCAATGTAATCAAATAAAAACACCTTCTGTAGTTAATGCAATACCATCATCAACGATTATTGTTGAGGTAGGAATATCTATAAAAACAAAAGAATACAATGAACAACAAAAAAACAACACGTACACATCCTAAGCGATCATTTGTCTGTATATGTGTATGTGTGTCATATTTATTCAAAAGATCGGCACGTGTAAAAGCTGTTTGACCTTCTTGTTTATTTGGTGATCTTCATTTAAAAAAAAAAAAGAACCCGTTAAAGCGTATCATAATTATAGAAGCATATAGATTTTTTACTTTTACGTTTTGTATCTATTTACTTCCTTGTACCTCTGTCTTTTCTCTTCATTTTGTCATAAGTATAAAGTACGATGATGTAATAATGATTGGATTCCTTTTTTTTTTTTTTTCTCATCTCAGAAGACATTCAGTGAAAGTAAGAAAATATTTGCGTCTATAGGTTAAATCTTATAATATATTAAATAATCTTTCTATTAAATGATTATTATTTATATAAATAGAATCGACGAGACAAAAGTGACTCGGGCCATGTCAATATTCGTGATGATGATGAAGGTCATTTGATTTATGTTCCAGGTAAAGACGATAAGATTATTATCATGTCTTTCAACGAACTTATCTTTGTTGTTTTTTTTTCTCATTTAGGTGATATTCTACATCGTCAATGTAAGTCTTTATTATGTTTGCATGTTCATAAAAATGAAATATTTCTAAGTTAAATGTAGTTTATATACATACAATATATTAGCTTTGTCTTATCAAGTCCGTGAGAATTCGACAACATCAATAATATATATGATGTTCATTAGCAATCTTATATCTTCTTAAATATGTTTAAATTAAAAAGTATAAAAATAGAAATGTATATCATTGATGAAGAGTAATTGTTTCATTTTATTTTTTTAATACAGTACAATGAACAATCAGTGCATAATTCAAAAATGATTAATGCATGACTATAACTATATTTGATGGTTTAGTTGCTCGCCTTTTTTTTTTGAAGATATAATCTTTTATCATAGATATATAGCGTGATTATTTGAATATTTGACATAGAAAATAGATCTGTTCTCAGACGATATGTCGTGCTCTATTCATTTATATATTCAGTAGAATTCAGTCGTGTTTATAAGTGTCAGTCAGAAATTAGAAGTCTTCAGTATCGAATAAATGTTTTTCTTTTTGTTTGAATAATAATATTCAATATCAGATTAATGTTAAGATATGAGTTTGACAAACGTATTCTTCTATGTCAATCAATGAGTAAACAATGGATTAAAATCAAATTTCAATTTTGAGATTTTTTTTCTTTTTTTTTACATGTGATTGAATTAGTGTCCTGCAACCGGGTCGGATACCCGACCTGGTCAAAGTGCATGAGTTCCGATATTAGATCACATACAGAGATTAATGAAGTTTCAACCTTTCAAAATATTTTTTACTTTTTCAAAACTGACAAGTTATATAAAAGCATAGATGCGAAAATCTAAGTAATTTATTGTTCTTCAAAATAAGTCATAGAAGTCAAAAGCGATATTGTTTTACTATATGAATTCGCTCTTAATAAAAATTCTTTTACAAAGGATAATAAATCATATGAGTAACTGAATACTTAGAGAGCAAAATAAATTATCAGATGGTCTCTTTTTCTGTTGTTGTTAATAGAAGAAACTAACTAGTATACTTTTTTTATATAAAATAAAAGTTTGAAAACTGAACTCTGCTTGTGAAAGTATATATCGATTACGAAAAGTCGTACTTGTGCAGAATACTATATTGAATTTTATTGTATAAAAATATTTATATGATATTTATCTTAGATGAAATTCGTCGAACACTTGGAGAAGGTACTTTTGGTAAAGTTGTCGAAGTTCGTGATCTTCGTGGGTAAATAAAAATATTTGTTTATTTTGTTTGAATTTTTTCCATACAAAATTCGTTGTTTTTTTTTTTTTAGTGATGGTAATACACGTATAGCATTAAAAATAATAAAGAATGTTGATAAATATCGTGAAGCGGCCCGGTTAGAAATTAATGTACTTAAAACAATCAAAGAAAAAGATCCCGATAGTGTTAAGTAAGATCATTTTTTTTTTAAATCTATATTATTTCAATTCTTTTCTTTTCTTTTTTTTAGTTTATGTGTATCATTACTTGATTCATTTGATTATTATGGTCATATGTGTATTGGTTTTGATATGTTAGGTTTAAGTGTGTTTGACTTTTTAAAAGAAAATAATTATATTCCATATCCGATCGATCAAGTTCGTCATATTTCATATCAATTATGCCTTGCTGTCAAATGTAAATATTTTTCTTTTCTTCTGTTGTTTTTGTTGTTGTTGTTGCATATATATGATAAACAAATTTATATTTAGTTCTTCATGAAATTGCTTTGACACATACAGACTTAAAGGTAAGAATTTTAGACAAAATTATTTATTAAGAATTTTTTTATTTTTATAGCCTGAAAATATTCTTTTTGTCGATTCGGATTACAATGTTGTTTATAACCATCGAAAGGTATGTAAAAGAAATGTGCCGCAATTATGAAATTTGGGTTTTAAAAATATGGGAGGTCAGAATTTCGGCTGAAGAAATTTTCAGCCCGGATTTTCGTCCCAATACAAAGTTCCGGCGGTTTAGTCCGGGCCGAAATTTCACCGGAAGTTCGGCCCAAGACGAAATTCATCTCACCGCTTTTGATAAAAAAAAGTTCAACTTCAATGTATAGTTGGCACATTTTGTAGTGTTGAGCAGAACGACATAGTGTGTGGCAGTGTGATTTTAGACCACATTATAGTTATAGCATCATGTTCAGCATACGACATTCTGTTTTATTATGTTACTTGTTCGGGAGAAGTAATAGATATCTCTCAAAACTACAACACTTCTAATATGAGTCCAAGTAGGCTACTCATCACTACGTCGTTCTACTCAGTACTACATTATTTATCAACTAGTTAAAGAAATATGACTTGTTTTAAAGGATTGATGAGGTGAATTTGGGCTCGGACCGAAAATTCATGTAATCCAAAAAAAAGCAGTAAGTTTTATGAAAATTTACATGCACCAGAAGTATCAAGTCTTAATGTTTATCTGAATGGGTTTTTTAAAAATGTGGTTGAAAAAAATCATTTTTTTTCAACATGATAGCAAACCGCTATAAAAACGGGTTTGCATTCAAAAATTTAATCAAAAAAACATTATTTTCAAATCAAATGAATAGCATATTCGTAATCAACATAAAAAATCGACATCGAATAGTATATTCAATACTTATAACTAATTTTCATGAAATTTCGACCTGAAACGAAACCTTAGATTTAGACAAGATGATCCTAGTCCTAACGGAGCCAAGACGAAGAAACGATTGGTACCCTTTGTCACTTGGAAATATATATTAGAGTAATCAAAAAAATAACAGTAAGGAGATGTAAGGATAGAAATTTGATAAAATTTAGGTTCAAATATTGAATATTCTATTAGATATCGTTTTTTTTGTGTTGATTCTGATTATGACATTTGTTTCATTTGGAACTAAAGTCTTAATGACCAAAGTCTTTAAAAACAAACATATTTCGATGGCGTTTTGATTAATTGCAGTTTATTTAACCTTCTATTTATGACAGAGCCTAAAGGGACATAGTATTGATTACAAGTAACTTGACGAAGAAAGAAAGCAATTAAAGCAAAGCACAAACATAAAGCAACATACAACACTGAGCATAGTTTACATGAGTCATGAGCTATGGCTTGCAGAATTGCATCACTTTAGTATATAAGTAAAGTACATAGACGATTGACACACAAGTAGCTTGAGATGTTTACAGCAGAGTAAATTTATACCAACATAATACTGTCAGAGAGAAGACTTGAACTTGATGTTGATTATCGAGAAACGAATATGTCGCCATTTCTTCTCTCCTTTCCTCCACCATACACTATACAACGATTAAAATCAATAAAAAAAAAAAAATTGAATAAATATTGAAACTCTTGAGATTTGATGTTTTTTTTTCGACATCAAGACAAAAAGCTTTTTTTTTGTTTTGCTCAAAATTTCGAATGTCAGCATCTTATAAAGAAAAACAAACGAACAATTTAATTTTTTTAATCGAAATGAATTTATTCTATTTAGAGAAGAGATGAACGTATTGTACGTCGAACAGACATAAAAGTAATTGATTTTGGTTCTGCAACGTTTGATTGGGAACATCATTCAACAATTGTTTCAACTCGACATTATCGTGCACCAGAAGTTATACTTGAATTAGGATGGTCTCAACCGTGTGATGTTTGGAGTGTTGGATGTATTCTATTTGAACTTTATCTCGGTTTTACTCTTTTTCAAGTAAATTTATTACAAATTTATTAATAAAATTGTTTTAAAGTTTTTTTTTTTTTTTTTTTCTAATAGACTCATGATAATAAAGAGCATTTAGCTATGATGGAACGTATACTCGGTCCAATTCCATATCGAATGGCCAAACAATCAAAGTAAAGAACAAAGAAAAAAAAAAACAAAATCAAGCATTATTCATTTCTCTCTTTTTTTGTATTTTTTAGAAAAACAAAATATTTCTATCATGGTCGATTAGATTGGGATGAACGTAGTTCAGCTGGTCGTTATGTACGCGATAATTGTAAACCAATAAGAGTAAGATTAAGAAAATTCATTGGCTTTTTTTTTATTAATATTTATTTTATTTTATTTAAGCGTTATATGATGAGTGATGAACAAGATCATCAACAATTATTTGAATTAATTGAAAAAATGCTTGAATATGATCCAAAGCGACGAATTACATTAATTGAGGCTCTTCGACATCCGTTTTTTGAACGTCTTTTACCCGAACAACGTATTAATGATGTTCCTTCAAACGCAAATACATCTGCCAATTCTTGATAAAGTTTACCTTATGTGATATATATATTCTAACATATATCATTATTCTTTATTTGTGAGAAAACTATCGAGAAAAAAAAAAGCATAATTAATTCTTATTATCATTTTTTTTCTCACTGTCTCGCTGTCTGTGTCTCTCTCTCTCTCTCTTTCTCTTGTGCATGTTTACTTTTTTTTTTCTTTGTTGTATTACTTCTTCTACACTGTACTACTATGATAATGGATAAAAAACATAAAAAATAGACGGAACAATTTGTTTTTCTTTCTTTTTTTTTTGCTTGTTATTTGTTTCATGTAATTCTCTATTTCTTTTCTCTTCTTCTTTTTCGCTGTGTCCGTCTGGCTAACTAAAATTAGTCAAGAAGGATAAGTAAAAACTAACAAGAAACAAAATCTCTTCTATATTCATATATGTACATACACACAACTTTTTACAGATTATTAAATAAGTATGGTTCGAATTGCTGTATTGGGTTGTGGGACTATGGGTCTAAAAATTGCAGGTTTTGATTTAATATTGATATTTTTTTCGTTCTCGTTTCTTACCCTTGATTATTTTTCGTAGGCAATTTTGCCTATTTTAGTCATATTGTAAAGATTTTCGATAGTGATCTGAAACAACTGGATACAGCATGTGAGCGTATTCATTACGATGAAGATCAATTATATCGTGATGGTTTGATTGAAGTACCAAAATTTTTAGTGAGTTACAAATATATAATACATAAATTTTAATTTATTTTTTATAATTAATCAGGGTCAAATATTATGTTTAAATCGACTTGAAGATGCTGTTAAAGATGTTGAATTTATTTTCGAATGTATTATCGAAAATTTAGAACTTAAACAAGCATTACTTGAAAGTAAGAATGTAATTTCGATTATATTAATATACAATGGAGAATATATTCTATTATCTTTATAATAAAAAAAGAATGCAAGATAGAAGTTCTTGAAAGGGTCACTATGTTTGCTTGACTTATAGACTTCATTGTTTTTGAATCAGAATTAGGTCAAAAAAAAAAAGAATATTGTTATACTTTACCTGTAGACTTTGACTTCTGTGTTAAACTATCGTCAGCAAAAAAATAGTTTAGATAACATGTGTTCTTTCTTTAGGTGAAACCATTCTAGAAAGAAAGAGAAACAAAGAAAAATATTCAAAATTTTGTCAAATCTATCTGTCATACAAAAAAGTACGTTATCCAAGAGAAAAAAACAATGAGTTCGAAGGGTATGCTTCTAAACGATTCTTGTCCTGATTTGTATCTTTTGTCTCAGAAAAAGAAAACAAAAAATGGGTCAAAAAAGAAGATGCTCTAGATTTTTTTTTTTCGATTCGGTTATGAATTGATTTGAAAAACAAAGAATTAACATCATATAAAGATGCAATCATCAGATTTATATTATCAAGATATTAATCATTATTCAGCTTTGTCTTTTAAATTGGCATGCGAAGTTTTTTTTTCTTATCACGTTTGTTTCTTCGATTTTTTGTAAAAAAAACATTGTCGAATAATAATTATTTTTTTCTTGTCGAAAATAACCGATAGCGTCGTCTGTAGACTTTGTTTTCGAAATTTTTTTCACTTGAATATATAGACGATTTTTTTTTAGCGCTCATTATTTTAAATCCTTAAAAAGCTCATGTACAACATAAAAAATATGCATCTGCTTTTGATAAAATCATAAAATTTTGCAATAAAAAAATATGCTTAATTAGACTGATACTTCTTTAATTAGTATTGAAATATTTCAGTTCATTCAACCTTTTGCTTTCCGAAAAAAAAAAAATTTACATGAATGTTAACTCGTAACTGTTACATTAACCGATATATTTTTAAATATTCTATTTTAATATAAAAAAATAATTGTCAATCTTAATCATATACACTCGACAGGTTTCAATGTCTGTGTCTATTCTTTTATTTCTAAAAAAATTAAATTTTTGTTTTTCAACAACATACAATCGATAATTTTTGATAATCTATCAATCCATCATATAATTTGATTTATAATTATTTCTTTTCGACGAAAACAAACAGACAATTTAAAAAATAAAAGTTTTCAATAATTAGAATTGTTTGAAAAAAAGACATTGTTCTATTGGATAATCTTTGGAAATAAAAAACTGTAGAAATGAAGAACTATTTTTTACAAGAAACTTTTCATTTTATAATGTGTCTTTATTAAGTTATCGAAAAAAAAATGAAATTAATAAGAACCTTTTACAACACTTGTAAAATTTGCCATTATTTTTTTTAATATTGCAGAAGCTGCTCAATTTGCTTCGCCTAATGTAATCATATGCTCAAATACAATGCGTTTAGATTTAGACAAAATGTCAGAAAATTTACCTCATAAAGAAGTATCGTAATACAAATTAAAATTATGTATAATCTTTAATATTTGTTATGTTTTCTTTCATCTAGAACTTTCTCGGTGCACGTTTTCTTTTTCCAGTTTATTATGTGCCTGAAGTGGAGCTTAATCCAACGAAATCAACAAGTACACAAACCATAGCTGCCTGTAATATATTAAATTGATTGATATCGTTTTTTTTAGATTTCATTTTATTGTTTTTTTTTTTAGTACGAAAATTACTCGAACGCATGGACAAGGTTCTTTATTTTCGTTCATCACCAGATCCATTAATACTCGACGAAGAACAACGAGAAATTAGACGAAAAGGTTTTTTTTTTAGACAAAAAAAAAATCAATGATTAAAATTAATTCATATTATTCTTTAGCTCGTATTGAATCATTAAAAAAGAGTAGTGGAATAATGGTAGTGCGTGGTCGAACATTACCAGGTTTGACATCATCAAATCGATTTGATCATGGTAGTAATCGTAATGATTTGCGTAAATAACTAATTAAACTTTTTTTTTTGATTATTTATTTTATCTTTTTTCAATTAAATTTAGTAGAAAGTGGAAATAATAGTGGTAATAATTCAGTAGCAAACGAAAATGTTGATTGTTCAATTTGTATGGATCGACCACGGAATTCTGTTATACGTTCATGTAATCATTTTGTAACTTGTTATGAATGTGCACGTTTATTATATAATCGAAAAGATCCATGTCCAGTTTGTCGAAAACGTATTGATGATGTTATTCGTGTTTATACGTGAAATTAATTAACCTTATTTTTTTAATAATTTTAAAAAATATATTTTTTGTATTGTATTGTATTATATGTGTCAGATTTTTTTGTTTTTTTAAGATCAATGTATTATTTAAAACTCTCAAAAAAAAAAAGAAAAAATTGAATATTTATTGTAAAAAACATTCTTATTGTAACATTTATTATGGCATATAATCACTTTGAAAAAATTATCCATTCGTTTCGTTTGTATAAATTTTATTTTAGAACAAATGCTTTATCATTGTGTTATTATGATACCAATGATCAAAGCAATAAAAACACTATTTTAGGTGAGTTATGATCTTTTGATTTCGTTCTATACAAACACATTTTATATTAATATCGTATGATAATCATACAATATTGCGTATGTGTAGTATTTTTGTCAAGACATATGTTATTTTTCTCACACTGAGTAGGCGAGAAATCTATTAAAAGCTTACTTAGAAGATTAACTTTAAGCTAAAAGAGAAATTGTTGTTATACAAATATAATCGCTATGATAAATATGTGACATTGAAATAGCTTGAAATTAATCAAATAACTATAAACATATGATAAAATATCGTTTGACGGTCCTTAAAAGTCCAAGAACTAAAATTGAAAAGAATGACCTAGATTTCTCAATAAAACTAGAATATTCTTTCATCATCACCAAGTGCGCTCCCACGTTTTATCGTTATCTATGTTTTTCGTTGCGATCCTATAAAAGGAGGTCGATTTAAGCGGTTAGTACAGAATCATTTCTTTACAAATTTCTACAGTTTTAATATTTTCATTAACAAACAAAAAGGATGTCCTTACAGATTACTAAAAATAAACATTTTGGTATGTATTATTTTTTTAATTTATTTATAAGAATTGTTTTTTATAATTTAATTTCTTCTAGACTTTGATGATCTATTATCATTAGTTCAACTTCTGGTGACTCCTCTGACAGTGATCAGTCATGCTATCGAATATGTTATGTTTCAAATGGTAAGTGTAAATAATTTTATGTTTATATGAATTTATTCATGCTCTTCGGATTATTATGAATAGGTCCTTTGGTACGATTTATATATCTATACACCACTTCAAATTCATCTTTCACCATATATGGCTCGTATTCCACGTTTTATTCGAATTGGTGATAAAACTGTAACTGTATTTAATGCTAATATTGTTACTTATTCACGAACACTTCTTATCATTCCAATAGCTTGGTGTCTAAAGTAAATATTTATTTGAATTTTTTTTTAAATTTCATCAATAAAAATCTTTCTATTTTTTTTCTTTTCTATAGATATAATTATCCAATTTTGGCATGTTTATTAGTACTTATTCATGATTTTCTTGATCATGTTGATGGTATTGTTGCAAAAGTACAAAAACGTCTCTATGGTGAAAATATCGATGATCCTTTATTGGGTGGTTTTATGGATGCATTTTGTGATAAAATTGTTAATGTTTTTTGTCTATGGACTATTATACAAGAAACACATTTTGCACAAACATCAATATTTCTTTCAATTATCTTTGTTCTTGTATGTTATACAATAATTGGTCTTGAAACAGCTATTGGTGTTGTTCGTGTACAAGATTATTTTTATGCTAGTCTTAATAAAAATAAGTAAGTTATTATATTTAAATAAATAATTATAAATTTATAAAAAATTATATTTTAGAACATCTGGTCAAAATTCAACAGCTGCTGCAATGACAGGAAAATTAAAAGAAAAACTTGAATCAATGGGTTTAGCATTTTTATGTTTATCAACAGGTTATCTTTCGCCATTTAATCATTGGTGTAAGTTAAAAAATTTTTTATTTTCTTCATTAAAATAATTTTTAATTCTTTTTTTTTTTGTCTTTTAGCTGGTATAACTGGTATGATATGTTTTTCATTAACAATTCGATTAGCTTATGCATCATTAATGCAAAAATTTCAAGCACGAGAAACGATTACTGAAACTAAGAAAAACATAATTGATGATTCAACATCAGAAACTATTTCATCATCAGTACCATCTGTTAATAAAACAATTGGAATAATTAATGTATATAATTCATCAACTGATACAAAATCTCGTAAACGAGCAATGACACTTGATACTTTATTACGAGAAGTAAATTTCTTTAACATAGATTAATATTTTTCAATTATGAAAAAATTTTTCTCTTCTTTTTTTAGAATGAAAAACAAAAACGTTTAAATACTCAATCAAGTCATTCATCATCAAATGCTGGAAGTACATCAAGTATAACCAATGGAGGTGTATCACCTAATCTTCCAAAAGGTACATTAAATCCATTGGTTAATCATATTAATAACATTGAAGAAGAAGAAAGTGATCGTTGTAGTTCAACATCTTCATCTGAAGATCAACAAGATTATTCCTATGCTATTCAACGTAGTTCATCATTACCAGCAATGTGGATTGATGGACGAGCTGATAAAGTTTATACTATTGGTTGTTTTGATCTATTTCATGAAGGTCATCGATTACTTCTTCAACGTATGAAACAATTTGGACGAGAAGTTATTGTTGGTGTACATGATAGTAGAAGTATTCAAAAATTAAAAAATCGTGTACCTATTGATGGAACAGAAACACGTATGCTTAATGTTAAACGTTATGCTGATGAAGTTTATTGTGTTGCTGGTACAGATCCATCAAATTTTGTTAAATGTATTGTACATTTACGTGAAAATGAAACAGCACTTTATGTACGTGGTGATGACATGGCAGATTTTCCATCAAGACATGTTGTTGAAGAATTAATGCCTGTTAAATTTTTACCTTATACAAATGGTGTATCAAGTACAAAATTACGGCAAGAATTATTTTCACATGTTAAATCAGATGATCTGGAACATTTAGAAAAAATCAATTGATAATCAAAACAAAAAGAAATGACTATTTCCTAACGTGAATCTCAATTTTGTGCAATAAAACTTTGTTTTTGTCAAGCGTTTGTTTTTATCAACATATGTTTTTTTTTGTTTGTCTTTGTAATAAAATTAGACCCAACATATTTAAATCTTTATTCCTTCAAAATAATTGTATTTTACTTTATAATGAAAGAGGGAAAAAAGATGCTTCACAAAATAACGACAATTTTTTGTTTCATTTAAAAAAAAAAAAAGATGAAGTCCGTTTATTTTCGCCTATCTAACAGTATTTGATGAATAACATACCCGAGATAAAACAAGATTTTTCTAGTTAAAGTCAATGTGACTCATTTGAAAAAGAAAACATCTCATGACTCATTCATTTTGACTTGAGATGAAGAATTATTTTCGGTTGGTTAGCATCTTTTTACTACTTGCACAATGTTATTCAAAACATTCATATCTTTTATGTATTCTCTAAGATTGAAGATAAAAGAAAAAAGAATCATACTGGTTAATTGTTTCAAAGAATAGTAGCGAGTATTGTTGGTTTTTTGTTTTGCGTTGAAACTTAATAAATATTAGGTCTTTTTTTTTAATCTTATTTTAGATGATTTCCTATTTGATTTTATTTAAAATCTAATGGCTGCGTCGAATATATCATAGAAAACATTGTAAATATTTATAATATTGTATTTCTGAAAGGTAGTATCGATTAGAACAGTTCTAATAAACTAATGACAAAGTCAATATATTAATCAAGAAATGACAGAATATAGATAATGTTATTAATAATTATAAACATCATGTTAGCCTATTTGTTTATTAATAGATTGAAGCATAGAATTGTTCGAATATTTGATATAAAAATTTTGTTTTTTTTTTTTTTTAGTAAATTGAATAGTCAACAAAAATTTACAGTAAAATTTTGTTTTTAAATAAATAAGTGATAGATAATTTGTCTTATAAACATAATCTTATGTTTCAAAAACTTATTTATTCTATTCGCTAGTTCTAGTTTTGTTTATTGAGTTACAAAACTTATTATTTCAAGTAAACTACGATTCATAATTTTTTGATGACGAAGATTTTTGCATATAGTTTCTCAAAGATCACTAAATTAAGGGAATGAAATGATATGTATTAAAGTTCAGTCCGTATATATACGGGTCCCGTAATCAAATGGTTAATAAAAACAAAAAATATCTGTATTTGTCATTGAGAACACTTGTATAGACTTTTTTAGTTCTAATGTATTTCGATATTTAAAACAGAATTCATTGAGAATGAGAAAGAATAAACCCATGTTTTATGAATCATTGATTCTAAAGATAGAACTGGTTCTCATCAAATCTGGGGACACAACAATTCTTAGAACATAATGTCAAAAATGACATGTATTTTTTTTACTAGAAACGTAGTTCCTTGTGGATCATTTTGTATCAGTCATGATCAGTTTTTCTTGCTGTATCCGAGGTTGTAATATAAATGCATGAAATACAAAATCTAGGGCGAAAATTCGTATTTTTTTTTAGTGTTTTTTTCCAATCGATTCCAACTATTTTTAAGATCTATGTTTTGCGTTGGACAAAACCTAAAAATATTTTCGGAAAAAGCATGCAAAATTAATCACAACTGGTATGCAGAATCGTTTGAAGTCCAGTAGTTCTCAATAATGAAAATACTCTAATCCTCGATTAGAAATTCAAGGAATTGGTCCATCCTTAGTTCTAAGAACATATGTTCAATATTGACAATATACTGAATTTCTAGTGAATTTTCATGCAAATTGTAATCAGTTTTTGAACTTCATTTCCGAATCTATTCTTAGGTATTGTCTAATGCAAAACATAGATTTCAAAATCATTTGGAATTGGTCAAAAAGAAAACTAAAAAATACGAACATTTGGCCAATATTTTGCATATCATACATTTCGGGTACAATTTATGATAATGCAAGAAAAACTTATCATGACTGATATAAATAACCTGCAGGGACCAACATTACTAAGGAAAAAAATGTCACGTTTGACATTATGTTCTTAGAATTGTTGCATCCCTAACCAAACCAGTACACTTATGGAAATATGATCATGTGACATGTTTTTTGA